GTTCCGGTGCCTGTTCCTCTTCTTCTGTAGGTTCCGGTGCCTGTTCCTCTTCTTCTGTAGCTTCTGGTCCCTCTTCTTCTGAAGGTGCCGGCTCTTCTCTCTTCCATTCTGACTCGTCAACACCCTAGAAAATCATGGCTATACTTGATTTTGATAAATACATGATCAAGAATAAAAAAGCTTCCAATTTAAGTAACAGGTCATAGGTGCGCAAATAAAGATCTTCTTTAACCATCAACCGTTCTTAAAGTATATGCCACTAGAGAACTCACTTGCTACTTCTCTGAAAATTTTTACAAAACCGCGTCCGCCATCAAATTTACAACTAGACGGTTTAATTACGATTAACAAAAGGGTGATACAGTTAAGACGCAATTTTAGGATTTACGCTTGATCACTACGTTAAAAGAAGCGAACATTTTGAGATCTAAGTATAGGTGCGATAAAGAATTCTGACATCAGTGAGTAGAAATTGGGAGAAATTAATTAGATTTTGTCTTTACCATAAAGTGTCGGAATAACATTCTCGCTATCAATTGCTAAGCGCAAGAAAAGGATAATACAAGTCGCTCTAAAAAGGAGTATACGGCTTGAAAGAATTTTTCTTCAAGGACATTAATAACTAACTTCCATCTTATCCTGTTCAAGAGTATGGTCCTCAGCAATCCGCTTTGAGAGGCCCATTTGTATCTGGAAACATGAGTCTCAAAATGTTGCCGGAATAGTATCCCAAAGTTAGCTGAGTAATTAAAATGTTATAATTATACTCTAAACCAATTTACCGCTCAAAATATTCGACTGGAAGAACTCTTCTAGAGACGAATGTTGATGACTTTGGGAAACATAACGAAATGATTCGTTTTCAACAAGCTAAATAAAAGTAATTTCGAGATGCAAGGAAACAAAGGGGCGTACAAATCTTATGTCTGTAGCATCATTAATTCCCATAGGATTTTCTTTTTCCATTTTCTCCATACGGCGCTTAATAATCTTTCTGCTTTGTGGCGTTGCAGCAACTGTAAAAGCTTGTTGTCCCAGAAAGAAAAGAATTATTTTTACGGTAACATACAAGAAATACGAGTAAAGTACCACTAACGACTGTCCCAATCGAAAAACATTCACTTTCAAAACAGATTAGTTTAGCTTTAGGTTACCAAAAACACAAAAGAGATACGAGCAGCCAACCTCTCTGTAACCCCGGGGGACACAAGTCAGTCATGAATGGCTCCTCTTCGCTACCTGAAGTCCACTCAGTTGCTGTTAGAGAAGGCATCCAAGTCACCAAAGCATCAGGAAAGATATCACATTGAAATGCATCTTTCTGCAAACAGCTAATAAAGTAAGCTGATTACTTCATACTCAATAATTCAAACTGTTCAAAAAAAGGAAGTACCTTCACGCGTGGAACCCTGAAAGAAAGCAGCTCAATAGTTTTCTCAGTTAAACGCCACCCTTTCATGAATTCTACAATGCGTACGTCACATTCTACCTTGTGACCCATCGATATTGCCTGATGAGTGGTAGAAAACGTCCCGGGAGAAAGTGGCAGAAAGAACGGAGCAGTTGCCATTATCTTAAAAACTTCACAAGTAATTTTCAGACAGATCAACTACACTGCTTAGTGCTAAAAAACTCAGTTTTATGAAAAGCATCACAGATTTGCAAGTCCACACTTGGCTTATTTGATACTAGTGGGACACAACTTTTATATTACCAAGTTCTCCATTATTGATTAGTTTTTAGTTTAGACATGTTACACAGTTCTTCGTTAACAGAAAACTTCAGTGGCTTTGTAAATTCAGCTTAAGCAAACCTTAAAGGTACCATAACTGTTAGTTTTACCTCAAACATCGTGATTTGTCTGTCTCCCTTTCCAGTTAAGAACAGAACAGAGGAATCATAATCATAGAAAGGCGCTAAAGGCTGAGACGAAACATCCACCTGTTGAGCTCCTAAAGGGTTTAAATTTTCTACATTTAATAGAGTAACTATCCTTGTCGAGCTCCTGAAATTAACCTGCTGAAAGAAACCGAGAACGCTATCAATGACATAATTCCGCAGAGGTACTTGTATGTTCTAAACTAAATAAGTTCACAAAACAAAAAACTAAAAGAAAGCAGGAATCCAGACGAAAATAATAAAAAAAGCTAAAATAAAACTATTACTTGGTGAAATGAACTAGGACCAATACAGTGTCTTCACAGGCGAAAACAATTCTAGCCCCTCTTGGCGACTCGAGTATTGGTTTACTCTGGAAGTAAAAATGCATAAACCTAATCAGTCGGTATAAATCAGTGATTTTCAAAGTGAACGATAACGTCTTTCCGGGATGACGAGGACCTTCGTGGTGCTGGAGAAGACGGAGTAGAGGAGACGAAAGCTTTAAGTAATGGATTAACATGGCTCAACAGCCTGAGGTCTAAGATCAATCTCAAAAACCAAAGTGATTAAAAAAAAGCTTTGATAAAAGCAACTAGCGCAATTCCTAGACTATTCTGCCTTTTTTACAAAACTTTCAATAGTATTAAACTGCTGCATAAATACCTTTCGTTTTTCCCGAGCTTAATACGGCTTAAAGCAGATATAGAGATTTGCAGACGGTTGGGAAAGGAGTAGGACGGTGGGCCAAAGTCCAAGAAAAACTGTTATAAATAGTTACAAGAAGCTACCAGTGAGAAAATCCAAGATAATGAACAATCTGTGAAACTCACTACAAGGAGCGCGTCGCCTCCCATTTGGGGTTTAAAAACACAGACTTTGAAGTCGCGACCCACTGTTGCCAACTTCCTTCCATCTGCACTCCAAGCCATTGCCAAAACAGCGCCTTCTTTATGGGGTGATGTCTCCCAAATACATTCTTTAGTACTGACGTTCCATACAGACACAGTTCTTTCTTCACTATGGATGGCCACAGCCATAATATCAGCAGCAACAGGATTATATCTGAAAGTATAGACAACCTGACGCAGTTTCTTTTAATATGTTCTTCAGACTCGAACGAATAAAGTCAGCATTCTTAGATCGAACTAACAAAATGATGAAGGAAAAGAACTAAAAAGCTACTTTATCAAACCAATTTTGACATTAGGAGACACTTTCAGTGTGTCTGCTGGCTCGAGTAATACCAAAGGTGTTTCCATATTTTCAATACGCCAAAAATTAATCTGGCCATTGTCAAGCGCACAAGCGAGTGTTTCAGAATCAAAAGGATTCCATACTAAATCGTTAAGGCAAGTTTCATTTTGTAAAGCATCAATAACGCCATCAGGCAACTTGGTTATGTTACCCAGCTGAAATAATATGATTTAAAAAACGCAGATAATAAAATGTCTGAAGACTAAGGTGTGGAAGACAACAAGGAATAGACAAATCAAAATAAAAGATGGTTAGGTTTTAGAATTAAGAGAGCAGTAGTAAAGCTCTCAGGCGAAAATCTAAGTCAGTATATACTGAAAATAAATGAAGTTAGAAACCACACTCATCAATCCACCGCTTTTCAAGTAGGTGAAAATATGAAGAGAAGTGAGGAAGTGCGTTCTACTTTAGTTATTTTTAAGATGTAACGTAGAATAAGGAATTAATGACATACATCAATTACGCTAACAGCACCAACTGGAGTAGCCAAAGGAATAGCAGCATATTTTGCAGAAACACAAAAACCATTCGACTCAAACGGCATACGCGTATTGACATTGCGAACATTAGAGAAGGTGGTTTGCTTACCACCAGAGACCGTTTCAACATGCCGGTACTTAGAAGCTAATCCAATTATTGATTTGATTTGACTCCTTTCTGCTAAAAGTTATATAATTAAAAAAGTAAAAAACAGGGTATTTGAAGGTTTGGTTCAGAACAAAAAATAAGTAAATATTCCAAACAGTACAGCGGTTAACGCGATCTTCGTCAGACCTCCTCCATACGCCTGACTTTGGAAGAGCGGGACTGGGATTTTTAGCCACACTTACTTTTTTGACAAGCTAAAAAAATACAAATTAATTTGGCCTCAACCCTGACAACTGGTCTCATATCAAAATCGTTTCAGTAAAAAAAAATGTTTGCCATACTCGAAAATTTTGATCACCAGAAACGGATAAATTTTGCGCTCCTAAAACCAAATACAATATTTGAAACAAAACCCCCCCGAATCTTTACAGCAGATAAAATCTAAATCCTCCATAATAATTCAAGTGTTTACTCATTATGCGAATATGAAAAACAAAGACTATACTCGAAGGAGAAAACGTAGAAAAAAGTATTATTTTCAAACTGTATTTACAAAACACTGAATCAAATAAGTAAGAAAAGTGAACTTTCAATTCAGTTGTAAGATAGTTTCAAATTTCTGTGTGGAAATAAGCGAATTGTAATCAAGTGACTCCGGACATACTGGACTGTGGATTGGAGTAGTTTCACCCTCTGAATCTTCCCTGTTTTCGACCGATTCAGCTGCAGCCTCCACGTCTAAAATTTCTCCAGTTGACAACTGCCGAGGCCTACTTGATGGCCTTCGGTCCTGTCCCCCAAAAAAAGGAACTTCGTTTTTTGCAGGATCAAGGCTGATTCGGGCAGGCTAAATAAATTAAATTTAAACCAATTTTAAAACTACATAGAAGAGATGGCAATATCATAATTCGCAGATAACAAGAAATTTCATCTGGACCACAAACCTCAGCATCAGTACCGCTCAGCCACTGTGCACTGGTGCAGCCTGCTTCTCCGCCAATTGTGTTGGGAAATAAATCCTGATGAAAATCGTGATAGCTCTAAACTTAAAAATTATGAAAGAATAGATTTGAACAAAAGATACATGAATTGTAGAAAATCAGTTTTTTTAAGATCAAGAACACTTTCAAATAATTGCCACTCGAATTCCAACGTCTACTCAAGAGAGTAATTTGCAAAGCCAATATGTAATTTACCGACCTGAAGGGGTGAACTTTATTAAAATCATTTTCTAACCCTCAACTTCTGCCAAGACCGTCCCAACCATATTCTCAGTAGTTTAGGAAATCATTTAATTTTACAAATAGTTCAGTCATAGATGCCGTCTTACGACAAAATTATTTACTTTCAAATTAGACGTTTTCAGAAAAAATATCAGTTATGGAGCGGATGAGAAGAAAAAAACCAGAGAGAGAGGCATTAATTTACATTTTGAAAGATTTACCCTTCGAGGAACAATGCACGGGACCGGAGTAATAGAGCTTTTTGCCAACTGGTAGACACGATTCACTTCCCCAGACATCACGTCTAAGTCGTATTTGCAACCCAAACAAGCACCAATTGTCTGATTCTGCATGACGAAATTAAAAACTGAAAAGACAATAATCTTTTAAAAAGTACTTGTGTAAGAATTACGAGAGATAGATTTTTTTTTTTTTTGGTAGATTTGACCGAATATATGTGATGACGCAATTACAAAGCTACACTTGACGTTTAGAAATGTTAAAGCCAACTAGTCCTGAAAATTTTTTGGAGTTTTTATGACTTACCAGGAGATATCTGTGGAGCCTTTTCTTGGATTTCAGTGATAATTAGTTTGTTAGTGCCTTTCCCCACCAAGAACAACAGTTTCGTGTCATAATCATAAAGCGGAATAAGAATACCCGTCGAAGAAGCATATTCTTGTCCATAAATTACAGCACCATTTTTACGAGCATCACATAAGCGAACTTCTTGAGAACGCTGCTAAAATTTTACAGCTTAAAAAAATAACTGAACTGCAGGGAACTTGCAACAAAATAAAACACCACTGTCACACGAAGAGATCATAAAGCAATGCTATGAAGAGCTAAAATTCTTAGAAAATTGCAATTGAAAGAGCAAAGCAAGCATCCAAAATTAATAGTTTAAGGGAAGACAAGTCCTTTTGACAATCGCCACCCGTAATGCTTGAATAATATTTTACCCTAAAATCCAACCAGCTTCCTTTAAAAAGGAAGCTTCTCAAAACTACCCAAAACGTGAGCCCGTTAACAGCAAACCAATACGGCCGCTAAACTGAATTACCAAAGTTTCATTTCCCTCTACAAAATTAAACCAAGAATAATACTACTAACATTCGTGAAACCGGATGAAATAAACTTATTTTCGTCCACAAACAGGATTCTAGATTCGCGACCGGTACCGCTGTGGAGATTAAACTTTCCAACCTCAGAAGTACTACTGCGCGGATCGTACACAGCCCCGCGTCTGCCCTGAAAAATATTAGCCGAAAATCGTTTGAAATCTATCAGAATGGTACAAATAACCATTTACAATACATATTAGGTTACATATATTTACAAACGGAGAATGACGAATAAGCAGAAAACGAAATAATAAACTGGCAATTCCAAACCTTGTCACCAACGATAGCCACAAGTTTCCCATCAGGTGACCAGCTTATAGAATCAACTTTATCGTCAAAACTGAGATCTATTTCTAAAAATCTTGCGCTAATTTTTTATTCGAACCTGCCACTTTTTCTAAAGCTGAATTTTATTGCACACTCTAGTCTACTAAAAATAAAAACAATTACCAATCGCACACTTTTCAGCCTCAACATCGACAACCGCAAGAACCATGTTGGATGCTCCAGCGACAATCTGACTCGCTGTAGGGTGAGTCGCAAGACATTCAACAGTGCCTCCTCCGTCAATAATCACTGAAGAGGCAGGATTTTCAAGCATTCCAAATTCTTCTCCAGCATCACACTTCCACATTTTAACCTAAAATGTTCATAACAAATGAGTTTACCTTGAAAATTTTTCAGAAAACAAGAAGCAACAAATCTGAAAAACTTCCACACTAACTTATTTGTTGACCATATCTATATTTACCTTATAAAAATTATTTTAAAGAAGTTCTTAGACTTATTTTTTTGGATAATCTTTTATAGTTTCTGCAGAATACTAGAAAGTTAGTCTGTGTTTTTAGGAAAAAAAAGACGATATCTCAGAACGATTTCTGTGGAAGACAGTACTTGTCGAAGTTTTCAAACAAACCTTCTCATCACGACTGCAGGTGGCTAACAGTGTTGGATCGAAGGGAAAGAAACTAAAGTCGTTTAGTGGTTCTGCAAACAGATAAATGCGAAGTTAAGGTAAATAATAGTTTATCTTATTAAAGCACTAAAACTCAACCTAAAAAACTGAAAAATCATTATTACTGCCATTAAGCTATGCCCGTGTCCACGTAACGTGAGGTTAAATGTTATACCTATAATAAGAAAAAAAGTTAAAACAGTAAATTCCTAAAACAGTTGGTTACACAAGGATTTCACCTTTCATATTCGGAATAAACATATCAATTTAAAAAATTTAAAACTCTACCTGCATAAGCGCAAATAATTTTCATTTCACTTCTTTGGCGTCTTCCCCGTGCATCAATAGGTAATATCCCTAGTTTTCCACCTGGAAACAAACAAGTTGAAAAATCAGAATCTTTTTCATCCATAATGTCTAACTATTTACCTTCACCCTCAAGACCAAAAGCCATATGAGTGGCACTACATTGAATTCCATTATTTCCCATTAACAAAATCCCAACTGGTACATCGAATAAGGTCTCCTAAATGCGCTCTATAGGAATGAAAAGTCCATAACTAAAACAAGTTTAGAAAAAACTACGGAAAACTTAAGCATAGCACTACTTTAAAGTAAAAAATTAAACCTCTTTTTTCGGTGCTCTTGGAGTGGTATTCTTGTATTTCGACGGAGCGAACCGCCACGCCATGATCTATCCTCCTCGACGGATGTTCTGAAAAAACCCGACTATTCAGTGCAGAGTTTGAGCCGTTAATTTATTTTGTTAATCACTATCGAGCAGTAACTGAAAAAGAGAAATATCAGGAATTTCTTCAAAAGTTCTTGCTAAACAAACATTAAAAAATGGTGTTAAAATAGTGATGAAATAACAGCATGCAGTTAGAAAAAACAGTACATAGTTCCAAAGTCCCCTCAAACACGGTAAAAGTAATAAGTTCAGATGCAACTTCAGAAAATCTATTCATATTAATTGTTGGAAAAAATCTCAAAACTAGGTAATTTTCATGCAAAATGAAGGACCGTTAAAGCAACCTAGACACCTCTAACAAACAATTGTCGTCTTAAAATGAAAAAGGCAAAACTGGAGACTGTATGAAGCATAAGTACCAAGATTTGAAAATAAATTACAGCGTCATTCAACTTAAAATTGCTCAGCCAAGAAAGATCTGCATTATAAGCACAACTAAGTACACTTTACTCAGTGAAGAAGGAAATAAGTGACCTAGAGAAATAATTGAGCTTACGTAGTCTTGCAGCTAATTCCTCAATAATTTTAGCCACTGTTTCATTAACTGTACCTTTCAAGATAACAAATGTGACGAGAATCCACAAACATTACGAAAATTATCAGACAGGCCGCTAACGACCAAAACAGCAAAAAAGCGATGCTCACGAGCAGATATCACTGTACCGATCAAAATTTATGCTCATTTTCTGCTCCACAACGTTTATTTTGAAAGATTGAATATAGCACAACATACCATATTGCCGAAACTTTCAATTTCCCTTTGCAAAGCAAGAGAACAAATATGCTTAAAAAAAGCCCTGCCAAAAAAATTCATTAACAACTGATTATCCAGTTCAATTTTTTGCTCAAATATTAAAAAATTAAGTTAAAAAAGCGATCTTCAAAAAAAAAAATATTGCGAAAAAAAATTTTAGCTATGCGAAAAACGCCTAATAAAAAAAGTTACAAAATGACAAAACCAAGGAAAAATTAAGGCATTTCTGTCCATTGTTTACTTTTTTAAAATTTTTAATATTTAAAATTCTTCTAAAGACAGAAAAAAACTACACGGAAAGTAAAACAACTCAAATGATAACAGAAATGCTATGTCCTAAAATAGAAAAACAGCAAACAAACAACAAGCTATTCTAATAACTGCATTTTCTTTTCTCGAATAATTCTAAAAAACTAAAGAAAACTAGAAACTACTTTTTTTTTTTTAAATCAACTTTAGGACAAACAGTTGTGGTGAATATTTCACACCTAACAAGAAGAAATTTTATTTGTTTATTGGTATTTTATTTTATTTTTGTATATATCTTTATGTATGTATGCTTTTAGTTTATAATATGTGTCAATAAATTTCCTGCAAAGAACTTTAAGACAGTTAGTAAACAAAAAAGTATAAGTAGATAAATGCATAAGTGATTAAAAAAAATTGAGATAACAAAGCATACCAATCGAATTACAAAAAATTGACTAAAATCTTTAGTAAAATTGATTGAATGTAGCTATATAAAGTCATTTTATTCGGCAACAAATCAATGGACACCAATGGAACAGAATCAACGATGATGACCAGTATGATTGCCCAAGTTAATCCTACCAAAACTAATTAACCAACGATTAACCGCCCAACAAGCTGTCCAACCGATCGACCGAGCAACCGACCCAGAGTTCAACAATTTTACAAATACTTATTACCTTTTTATTCCAACTGACAGTAAATGATTACATTATTTTTAACTGAGGAGAAAGCTTAACTGTAAAAAAAGCCTCAGGGGAACCGTGTACGAATTCCTTATGCTCAGCCAGAAAAATTTCAGTATTGTACAATCGGGCAGCAATTTTAGCGCTTTTAACGGTATTGCAGCAAGCCTGAAAACTGGACGACAGTTACTCAGTGTTTCTGAAGCACTAACCTTAAAGCGGTGACGTCTTCTAGATCGGTGTTTTTGTGTCAACAGATGGAAACTGTTTATGTTTGTTGAAGGTGCAA